AGAGTGCTAAATTACCATACGAAAAATATCGTCCATTGCATCATACCACTGTACGGTAACTTTGCCTAAATTTATAGTCTACTCCAACGAGCCCGCAGTTGAGGTCACGAATCAGTTCAAGATCTAATAATCCCGTGCGCCAATGGTAACAACGTGCTCTGGAAGAGCGGCCAACGTGAGCCTTTCTCACCCGTGACGACGGCTGCACAGCACCGTACCGTGCTGCATTGTACTGTACGGCAGCGTCACTGGACAGTTGGCAGGCCCACAGTGCCAAAACTATGTCGTCCCCACCAGGTCAAATCTTTGTCAGAACACTGACTCCGGGCACGATATGTCCAAAGCACGGCCGTACTATAATACTAGTATCTCTCTAGTGGCATCCAATGTTAAAAACGCAGCAAAAACTTACATTACTTTGCTGTTTCGTGTAAAGTTGGCATGCGTAGAAATGGTTGCCCTACTGTTACTGTTACTCAACTCTACCTTATGCCACCATACCCCTCTTCTTGTGTGATACTTGTAGATGTGGAGATCTGGAGGTCCATAGCTGGTATTACACAGAGCTCGGTTTAACACAGCTCTACCAGATCTCTGGAACAACATATGGTGTGGAAACAACCATGCACACCCACCAGCAAAAATCTCCCGACTCCGACTTTTCCTCAACAAACACAGGGTTCTTGCGATCTCTATGAGATCCATCATAACCCCCACACTTTACCTTCGACTACCCTAGGACATTCAAATATGATACCCAAAACATTACGCTATTGGCTAATACCAGAAAGTAACCTCATGCAACTCCCCGCATCTACTCTCTACGAATATTACTAGTGTACGGTACCCGCACGTCCCAGTTGGCCTAGGAGGTCGGGAATCCCGTAGCGGCTTCCAAAGAAAGAATCACATCTCATCCCTAAAGAAAGACCCCACAAATTAGCTTCTTTAGAAGCCATTCCATTGATTTGTGACCTCCGGCCAGGCTACGTCAAAAGTATTATTGTCGTAATGAAGGCCGCAGAAACAGGGCCTCCGTCCATGCCTAACCCCGCACTTAAAAACTCCCGACAAGCATTTCTCAGACACCATATCCGCTGTTAGAACCGCCCAGATTATTTAAAGAGAAAAAAAGACACCCAAAGCATCCAGGTAACTGCCGGCGATGCAGAGATAACTAGAAAGAAAAAACTGAAAATGGTATATATATATAAAAAGAAGGAAAAAAAAAACCCCGGGCAGCTCATCAGACACCTCTCCTGAAATAATGTATGCAAAATGAGGTATAAAAAATGAGCAGAAAAAATAGGTTAATAAGATCCACACGAAATACGGAGCCGGCTAGGGCTCCCTTCGGGGGGGGGAAATGTAAACAAGAAAAGAAAAAGAAGGATAAAAATCGGAAACCTTTTTTTTATAAAAAAAAAAAAAGTGTAAAACAAAAAACAGAGACCAAATACAGCCCAGCCATCATCATAAATCATCACGCCTTTCCGAAAAAGTCATCCCTGGCTCATTCCGCCATCAGGCCAACCATCGGATTCAAGAAGGGGTTAAGCAATAACTCGTCGGCCGTAGGCCGCCGGACATGGTCCAACTCAAAGGTACGAGAAAGAAACTGTTTTGCTTCCGCCGAACACTTTGGGGGGATGGCTGGCGCAGATCCCCCGGTACCAATCTTGAAGATGGCTTGCAGCTGAGAACAATCGGGATAAGGATGAGTTCCAGTGAACATCTCGACAATAAGGCATCCAAGTGACCAGATATCGGCCTTGAGAGTATAAGAGGTCTGCTTAACAACTTCCGGAGCCATCCAGAAAACCGACCCCTGCAGAGAAGGCCTATGGCTCGACGAGGTGAGAAGGCCAGCCTCGACTTTCTTGGAAATACCGAAATCAGAGATTTTGATACCACCCTTGTTGTCAACCAGAACATTCGCACCCTTGATATCGCGATGGATGATGTCTTTGTTGTGGAGATAAGCAAGGCCAGTAAGGATCTGACGGACAAAGTTGCGGATAAGCGGCTCCTTCTGTGGACCATAGGTGTTCAGTAGAGCCGCCACAGATCCTCCAGGAACGTATTCCAGGAAAATGTTGAGTGAATCATCCTCGTCGCTGGATCCAAGATACTGGACAATGTTGGGGTGCTGAAGATCCTTAAGAAGCTCAATTTCCCTCTGCAGAGCCTCCACCATGCTCCGCTTCCTAGCGTCTTCCTTGCCACCGGATGCCATCTCGACCTGCTTAACAGCCATAAGCTCTCCAGTCAAGGCATTCAATGCCAGAAAAACGCTTCCAAAGGACCCGGCTCCAATAAGTGCTCCCTTCATCCACCTTAAACCACCCCAGCTGTCTTCCTGGTATTCCTCCTCGCCCTCCTCCTCCTCTTCTTCCGACTCCCCTGCGCTCAGGAATTGGTCGAGCATATTAGCCGCGTGGGGGTCAACTTCAGTGGCCGGAGTAGAGACGTTGCTATGAGTATCCAAATAGCTCTCCATGGTACTTCCGGTATCGGTATCGGTGACAACAACATTGACAGAATCTCGAATAGAACCCTCCTTACCGCCATCAAAAGACATATAGCTCTTCCTCCCAGAGCCCATAGGCGACGACTCCCCATCCTCCGGGACAGCCCCAAGAGAATCCCGATTATCGGAAAAGGACGTTGATGGCAAGAACGACCTCCGGATCGACAGTGGCCTCGTGACCCTGCTAGGAATATTTGGCATGGCTGAAACGGGACTAGCGTTCAACCAAGCATCTCCAACACTTGGAACGGGTGGGGCATCACTTAGACTTGACGCATAGCTCCTGGTAGTGGCAACACTGAAACGATTGTATCTGCTCATCCTAGTGGAGCGTCTTATTGAGTTGCGGACAGTCCTCTCCAAAACCTTGTGTTCATGATCCGGGAAATACTCGGCTAGATTTGAACTGATCAACTCACTAGGCGGGCGCTGCCCAAAGAAGGCTGTGATCTTCTTTGATGCCTTGCGGCTAGGTCCCGAATCCCGGCTTCTAGGCGAGGCTGGATCTGTGGCAGTAGCAGAAACCGGGGAAAGCTGGCTTGAAACGCTCATAGGGGACGACGGGATATCACGGAGATCCGGCCCAACCAAGGCCTTGACCTTGGGATTGCTTGCGTTCCCATAGATAGCCTCCGCCGAAGAATTTTTGTGTGCCATATCCTGCTGCTCCCTCGCAATTTGCTGGGCGACACGAAACTCGGTGGACAAAGGTAGCGGTGGAGACACCTTTTTCCCCAATATAAGCCTTGTACGCTCCGGTCGATTGACATCATGGGCTATCCGAAGCAGCTCAGCATCGCTGAGGCATCTGGCCGCATCTTTCCCATTCTCATCCACAATATTATATATGCCCCAGCTCGGCCAATGATCCATGATACCAAATTTCTTAATAACTTTACGCATCAGTGTCTCCGGAGTGTTGCAATCACTAATGTTAATAACACGATATTGACCACCATCACCAATAACCTTGATCGCATCCTGTCGAATCAAAGTCAGGGCGGTCCAGATGGGAGGAACTCTTCGGCATCAAACTCACCTGCCTGACATTATCCTGACCCATAATTCCCTTGTCCAGACTCGGAGATTGCCTGTGAGTTGGCTTCACAGGGTGAGGGGAATTGGCCGCCGCTTGAGGTTTGCTGTAGTCATAAGGTGTCCTAGGTGTTTTCGTGGGGTGAGAAGAACCGGAAGCCGGAGTTGGGGGACCAAAGTTTGAGCGACCGGATTCCAGCGGCGGACTGATAATGTTGCGAGTGCTCCCATTTCTCGGGTAAGACCGAGGGTATTCCGAGTCACTAGGACTATCGGGACGATTATATGAGCTGCTATTGAGGGTGGAAGAAATGTCATTCTGAAGACTCCGTGAGTAGCGTTTATTGCTCTGGGAGGGGGACGGATGGTAGGGCGACTGCGTCGGAGCACGGTATGGTGGCATTCCGTTCATGTTGTCAAGAGCAGCCAAGGTATCCTGAAGAGCTTGTAAGCACACACTCGACGCATCACCCCAACTCCTGGAAACGTACCCTATTACGCTTTTTGCCATTCCCATACGCCTTCGTTCTCAGGGCCTTTATCGCAACAAATATTCGCACACGATCCCCGACCTTTTTTATTCCCAATTCCTTGAGGACCGAATGATCGCACTCCAACAAAGCCTCCCCGTTGATATTATTACCTAAAACCAAATCCCCTCATTAGCCACCACGACGGATCGCCGGGTTCGTGCCCTCGGACGAGACCTACTCGAAAAATCACTCTCATATTTCGAGCAACCAATATCTCGCAGCCAACCACCAACCTTTCGCTCATCCCAAGACCTGCGAAACAGTTAATACTGCAACAAATGCAACTACGGAGTTCGCCTTACCGAATATCATCTAATACACCCGTACCGTCAGAAAATTCAGAATTTGTTGGGGAAGCTTGAGAAAGAGCTGAACTCGTGGGAGGTGTAGCATGGAGGAGTGAACCGCCGTGGACATACTGACTTTTCGGCGCGAGTAGAGCCATGGTTGTTGATGACCAGCAGCAGCGGAGGTAAACAAAAAAAAAAAGATGGTGAAAGGGTGAAAGAAAAAAAGGAAAGAAAAAACAAGGGAGAAGAAGGAGCAATGAATATATCGATGAAGCCACTCGGCCACGACAAGGCACGCTGCTCTCCCCGCACAAGCGAGGTTTCGAGGTATAAACAGATTCGACTGCAAAAGGTGAAAGGGAGACTCGAGACGAAGATCTGGTGCGTGGAACGTGTAGAACAAATATAGTCGAGCAAGCTATTTGTTCGAGAGAGAGAGCCTACAATCAGAATTACAGATCGGGGGGGGGGGGGGTTGGATCCGGTAAAAGGCGTTTCTCGACGCCTTTTCGTTTTAGTCGAGGGTGTTCGTTGTAACGACTAAATCAGGCACCAAACAAAGCGCAGCCCTGCAGGAAAAGGAGCACCAGCGATACGACTGCAAGAGCTGAAGGGGAGCACGAAGAGAATAAAAGTAGGAATTAGGGGAAGAGGGGAGAGAAGAGAAACGACTCGCAGAGTCCAAAATAGGGTGAGGTGGAAAGGGAGGGGTGAGGGTGAAGGGGAGAGGATGGATGGAGTAAGAGAGGGGGGGGGTGGTGTTTTGGAGATTATGAGAGGGAGGGGTGGGAGACTAAGCAAACCGGAAAGCAGAGAAGCAAGCAAATGGAACGGCGAGCAAGAGGACGAGCGGAGCAAGCCAGACAAGAATGGGAGCGTCCAGGGTCAGGACCAGTCCCTCCGCTGTGAACCAATCGTTCAGAATTCCTTACGGGACGACGGGGGGGTTGAACGACAGCCCGGCGGTTACGGGCGGACTGGGGGGGAGATGGTGGTGGTGGGAGGGAAGGAGGGAGGGAGGGATATGAATTTTGAAGGGAAAATACCAAGAAAAATGTGAAGCCCCAGGAAACAGAGAGGGCGAAAAGGAAGCCGGAGGGGGGGAGGGGAGGAGGAGTTAGTTGTTGTTGAGTGGATCAGACCTGGACGCGTTTCACCATGTCTGGGATTCAGTGTTGCGAGTAACGAGTCTCGACGAAGGAATCTTCTTCCCGACCGTTCATCATACCTATAAGCTTAAGGAGGGAGGGATGCAAGCGTGAGTGAGTGAGTATGATACATGGTGCACGCTGGATGTAGCACAATGCATACCCATAATCCTGTCCATCCACACAAACCCCTGAAGCCCTCTCCACTCGCAGCGCCCGAGAGCTCAACAAACGCTCTCGAGGCGCCAGGACTTTCCAAATCACTCCATCTCACCGTAATTTGGTGCGGCTCTCACGGAAAAAATAAATAATCCACAACTTTTGGCCACGAATGGCAAGGATTATTACCCTTCGCGCCAGTGGGACGTCCAGTGTGAATCCTTCTGCACTTTTAGTTATTTCGTTTTTCCTTCTTCCTTCACTTTCGCCTCCCTCCCTCTTTGCTCGGGGAATGGTATTGTGCCGGCACAGTACTCGAGTACAGTACGAGTACCACACTGTATCATACTCGGTAGGCTCCGAGAGAGAATCAAATAACCGGCCCCCCATGCAAGATTCGTTCGAGGGCATGTCCCCCCTCCAACGACCTTCCAGCTGCCACTTCCACCGCATCAGGATCAGCCCCAGCTCTGTCGAGAACCGAACCCCTCATCATAATCATCACCTTCAATGGATCACCATGTGTATCTACTCGGTTTACGGTACGGCGAGATGCCATCCATTGCGCCCATGCAGTTAGCCATTGCCGTACTGTGCCTGCCCTATCACGTAGCTCCTCACCTTGCCATACAGATGATGTTCGATGCCTGATCTCTTCGCGTCAAACATCGCACACACACATGGATCCAGTGGTGGAGGTTCACGTTCACCACCCTCACTCACACCTCACCTTCCCTACATAAACATTACTTGTACAAGCACTGCGCTCTCTGACACCTGCTGGGATGACTTGACTGGACACTTTTACCCTTTTTTTTTTCCCCCTCCTCCCCCTTTCCTTCTCGACAGGAAAAAAGAGAATTGCCATGGCTGTGTCTTTATGGCATTGTTTGAAATATCTCTCGATTCCTCTTTTTTCTCACCACCTTTTTCCCCTCCTCAACCACGATGCGAGCAGGCAGGTGTGTGTGCCCGTTCCCTCGGGACCTGACAGATTTTCCGACAGCACACGGGAATGACAAATGCCACCGCCAAATCATATGCATTTTTTGGCGAGCATCCAGCATCATAGTGTTCAGTGGTGGCAGTCCGCTCCCTTTGTTTCATCCGCACTCACCCAGCTTACGGTGCCCGATGCATATCAAGAAACGTTTCTTTTCAACATTTTTTTTTTCTTTCCCCCCCGTCTTTTCCCGTTCGCTTTCGTCCCTCACGCCTAATCACTGCAGCGCCATCCCTTCTCCCCATCCTTACTCCCGGAAGGATAAAGCCGCTACGTGCACGGTCAAGTCTCGTTGTTATTCGAAGCCTTGGCACCACATCCCCCACCGGAAGCGGATGACTTGCTGCTTGTGACAAAGGTTTCATTATCCTTCTTCTTCTTCCCTTCCCCAAGAAGGCAGGGCAAGAAAGCAAGAGTCGAAGGCTCGGGCGCCCGCTTGCTATATAATAACGAGCAAAAACAAAAAACATTAATCCATCAGATTCTGCGCCTTACTCGCGCCCTTGTGCGACACGGGACAGAGGCTGCACGATATCTACCGGTGTCCAACCCCCATGCTGACCACCGTACCCCTGCGGATCCGTCCATCTATCTGAAAACGCCCCTGATGATGATGACGATGATTATGATAATGATAATGAGAATACGGTACGAGCACGGTATTGGTACAAGTACTATAGGCTGATTAGCGGCAAGTTTTGGCGTCCCGTTTCCATTTTCCTTTCCTGGGAAGGGAGCCCTGCTTCATTCATACAAGTAGGTACCGTACCGTACTTGGCTTCGACTGTTGCGTGGAGTACGGTACCGTACCGTACCGATGCTGTAGGTTAAGCCGTACTCGTACTGGTACGCGTACTCGAGTCCGAGCGCAGCACTGCACCCGTACCAGTCAGCTACGAGTATCATGTCGGATACCGTGCAGTGGGAGCAATTTGTCCCGGGACGTTCAAGTTTCCCATTTTGTACAAGCACAGCACGGTGCCTGGAGAAAAACATGGTACAAGTACCAGAAATACTGCAAGACAACCCCAGATGCGTTACAAGCAGCGGGCACAGTACCTGGAGGGGAAATTTCGACGTCCCTCATCCAATTGCGGTACAAGTTCAAGTGATAATGCACGAGCACTACTCGAGTACAAAGCACTGCACCGAGAGAGCTTTGAATCTCCCTAGTACGAGCACTCCCATTCCACATTCCACCCTACCGTACCGGTACGATAACAACGACACCAAGGCCCTAAATGTAGAAAAGAAGGAGTTCACCTGAATCACTATATACAAGCAAGTACCCAGTTCCCCCCCTCGCTCCCTCTCTTCCCATTACCGGTAACGGTACTCGTAAGCCACCGACCCTTGTATGATACGCGAAAAAAAAAAGAAGGGACCACAAAGGCCCGTTACGAGCGGAGAAGGAGCCAAGACCCGGATCCGGGTGTTTTGAGCCCAAAATTCACGTGAAGGGTATGATATCGGTACCGGTATGTACGAGCACATTACAAGTGCTGTACGTAACAAATTCTCCTCCGGGGGGTGGACTCGAGCATTGTACCGGTACCGCACCATAGTACAGTATCGTATATACCGGTACACTATATACTCTACCGGCACTCTCCAGACCACCATGCCATGATATCGTAGAGTAAACACGCGCGAAAACGACAGCAAAGCGATCAGGAAACGCGTCCCGGATGTTCCCGGTACAATCAGTGGCAGTGGCAGTGGCAGTGGCAGTGACAGTACATACCGTACTCTATCAAAAGACGAAACCTCCCCAGAACCAAGGGAGATTGTATGATAAACCTCGCTGACAAAGCTTGGTCAAAGGCATAAAAGCGCAAACAAACAAATCATTGTCATATCATCATACCGTACAGGTACTGTTTACCCGTTTGTTTGTTTTTGCTTTTGTTGCCCCCCTTCGCTTTGTTCCCCCCCTTCCTCCCTTCCTTCCATCATAAACTTACCGGTAGCGCTTCTCGAGTAATCCATGCAAACTTCCTGATCTGCGAATTAATTTCCGGGGGCTCACGGTTGTTTGAATGCGGAATTGAACAAGTGAACTTGCCGGTTCTGTAATTGTGAGTGCACCGTACGAGTACCGTACCGTACCTGTTATACGAACAGGTCGATAGCGAGCGGGAGGCTCGGTACGAGTACCGGTACCGTACCGCACCGCAAAGTCCATTGTGAAACGTCTGCATTGGCGAAGCCACTGGGGTGCCGTATCTTACTTACCCTTTCCTCAGATTTCATACTGTACTGGACAAAGTAAACAAGTAAATAAATAAATAAAAGGATTCGTAAGGCGTGATGGGTGTGAGGATGATGTTATGCCAGAGTAGTGTAGTGTAGTGTACTGAGTGAGTATTAGCATCGCACCGCGTTCTTCAAAAGTATGGTACAGTACCATACTGTATCGGCGTTGCCGAGAGTCACTATAATAGAGAACATGGATGTACGGGTACCATAACTAACTTGGAGTAGAGCACTGGTAGACTACCGGCACGTACGAGTACTTGTACCGTAAAATTTACATGGAATCCCATAACCCCCACCAGGAAGAAAAAAGAAAAAAATCCCCACATCACAAACACCAATTACAGATTCGTACCGTATGATACTGTATACTATATACTCGAGTACCATACTTGTACTATACTAGCACAGAACCCTCCACCTCCACCATTGCAAGATGATCAAATATCCATCATACCGTTATATCACACTGTACTCGTACCAATACGGTCCTTAGTAACAATACCCCGTTTGTTGTACCAGTACTGTGCCGTGTTACTTGCACATGCAAATGTACTGTACCGTACCATGTAACTAATTGCCACTGTTGCATGGAATACCAGGTTAGGCTCGCCTAGCCTGGGGGTGCTGCTTAGACTAGACTAGACTACCTGGTTCTATCGGACTCTCTCCGCAAATGTTCCTTTCCTGCGCCGCGGGGAGTTGAAACGGGGGTTCATTTATCACACCCTACCGTAAGATTGGTCTACAGGTATTACTGTTGTGGGGTTGGACTAAGCTAAGTTATCCCAATCGCTGGTTGCTGATATGATATGATATGATATGATACCCCGCGCGCATTTCCAGGCTGGATTGGATGGAGGCTGCTGCGCTGGTGATGGTGTGATGTGCTTGCTAGGTGTGATATGGTACGGTATGGTATGGTAGGGTACGGTACCGTACTACGGTACGGCCCTGTGTGTGAAGTCTCAGGTTCAGCTTTGCTTGCCTTACGAGTGCGGTATGATACGGTACCGCATTATCCGAGTTTTTGGAGACTCAGGTACTCTCTTCTCCCTCTCTCTTCCGCATCACAGCCTTGTTTAACTGCGCAGTGTTCTACAAGTATGGTATGGTATGGTACAGCGCCTGTACCGACACCGGTCAAGTCCACACAGTTTGGCGAAAAGACTAACTTATGATACACACATGATCCCCGATGATGCCCTCTAATTAAACCGCAATATCGCAGATCTCATTGCTGCAAGCCACCCCCATATCCCCTGCATATGATAACGGTGTTCGAGTAACCTTGTAAACGCCGGTTAAAATTAGTCTGGGTTTGCATCGTCATCATCATCACCGCCACCACGGATCAAATATTATCCGCAAGAACTATGCATCGGCCGGCGCCGAGGTGGCTGAGCCCCGCAAACGTGACAAACACTGGTATCATATCTTTTCCCTTCATCTCATTTTTTTTTTTTGCCGCTAACCCTTACTGTGGTGCAGGTTACGGTATCCGCGCAGCGTTGGGGGCAAAAGATTATTTGCATACAGTAGAGTCTATCGGCGAGCTGGGATACCGCACCAGTAGCGCTGTGGAAGGAAGGAAGGAAGGAAGGAAGGTGATAGAAAAGAAAAAAAACAAAACAAGGTTTGTCGCCAACTCAGTCATTTCCTGTCCACGAGGAAAAAGAAAGTAAAGGATTCGGTCCAGCCCAAGCACTGTACCTGTAGTTCTGGCTGGACAAGTCGGTTAAGGTTAGCATGAACAAGGCTGTGCTGAAGGGAGATCGAATGCCTGGCAGCAGCAACAACAACACCACCGCCAAAAACAACAACGGCCTATGACTATGACTCTGATGACGAGAAACTGACAGAGTGAACTGAACTGACTCAAAGTTTCAACGCTGGCAGAGCTCCGGCCAATATCGTCAGGATGAATAAGTACACGTTCATACCCATCCTCCTGGCTTCGGCCAATCCTTCGAGAACAAGCCTTTTCACCATCACACGGTGTTGTCGGTCGGGAACACATTCTACTGCGCATAGCGGCATTCGGGCATTCACCACTGCGCAGGGTCTGATGGCGCAGCAGCGTAGGATCCTAGTAATAACCCCCCCTTTCCCCCTCTCCAAAACACTTTATTCCATATCTGACGCCATCAATGATGATTAGGTCTGCTCAATCGGCAACCCAGGAAAATACCTGAATACCCGCCACAGCGCCGGCCACACGCTATCAAACCTCCTCCAGGAGACGCTCGCCTTCCCACCATTTAGGAAGAACACTAGCTACGGTGGCGACGTCTCCGTGGGCAGGTTCGACAGTACGTACACGCTCTTCCAGTCACCCTCGCTCATGAACATCTCGGGCGGATCGGTGAAGAAGGCGTGGAAAGCTTTCATGGCCGAACTCAGCAACGAGGAGAAGGGGAACGCATTGCTGGTTGTGCTGCATGACGAGTTGGAGGCTGCGCTCGGTCGGGTGAAGGTGAAGAAGGGGGGGTCTGCCAAGGGGCATAATGGGATCGTGTCTTGTGCTGAGTCCCTGGGGTCGAAGGTGGGTGCTGTGCTGCCTTTGACCACTCTGGAGGGGGGGAAGGGGGGAAGGGGGGAAGGGGAGGAAGCTAATGATGAGACGCATTCACAACAGGACTTTTGCAGGATCGGCATAGGCATCGGGAGACCAGACAGTCGAGATCGAGATACAGTCTCTGAGTACGTCCTTGGGAAGATGACGAGTTACGAGAAGGACACGCTTAAGATGGAGTCATTGCCAGAGGTACTCGCTGCACTGGAAAAGCTATCAGCTGTTTAAGCCGGACTCCCCCCCTCCCCTTTCCTTAATCCAACCCTTGCTACTGCAGTCCATTCATTTTCGGCGTAGACTTAGACACCACTCTGTAAATACCTCCTACCGCTTCTCCCTGCGATGCCATCCACAACCAGATATATAGAGTACTCGTACATACCGGTCTCATACATAAACAACCAATAGAACACTACTACTCACCACTTGATTGAGGACAAACGTAAAACAAAACCACAAACCAGCCCGTGCCCCAACAAGCTAACCCCTGCAAACCAACCCAACGAGGTGGTACGGTATGGTACAAGTAACCGTAGTGGTACTCGAGCACTGCCCACTATCGACCAAAGTCCCATTCCACAAAACTCTCGCAGACCAACAAAACAAAACCAGGCTCAATCACTACCAGAATCCACCAACCACCGCGAGTACTCGAGTAGCCCCAAAGAGTTCCCCCCCACTAGCCAATAAAAGGCCCACATCAATCAGCCCGGTCGATCGCATTCCGCGCGAGATTTCATGGCATTGGCCGCCTTCCCTCTCCCCCGAGCGATTTCCAACCATTGTACGATAATCCCTTCTCATCCCGCGTCGTACCGTCGATGCCCACAGGAACCCCCTCCAGGCCCCCCAAGCTGAAAGGGCTCTCTCTCCCGTGCTATGATATAATTGCACATTATCTTATCCCCTTGGAGGGGGGGGGGGGGCGGAAGTGCACTACTGTTCCGGTATTCGTGATTGGCTTCCGTAGGAAAGGGAGAGATGTGAAACGGGATGACTTTTTGTTTGTTGTGCTTTCGATAATAATAATAAATAATAATAGTATTATAAACTTTTTTATTTATTTTATTTTTATTTTTATTTTTAACCCCGTGCCTAAGAGGTTAACTGTATCGAGCCTTAGGCACCGACACCGGTGTGTGTGTGAAGGGGGGAAAGGTTAGGCCGTATCATACATGAACCGTACTGGTACGAACAAGTAGGCCTCGTTCGTCCGTCCGTCCGTCCGTCCTGCCCGGAATTTCGCATGACGTTATAGTTGTATAATAATCGGACTTGATCTCTGTGTTTGGTTGACCTACGAGTAGGCTAACCTACCGGTATGATACATAATACCGTATTATTCGCGTTAGGCTCCTTTTCCCTTCTGTATTTGGTTCCCCCAGCCGATGTGTGAATTTTCAGGGCCTTGGAGAAAGAAAGAGAAGAAGAAGAGGGAAACTGAAGGCTTCGTGAAGGATCACAATATATTATAATATTATTATACCTATACCTCACCTTGCCTTACCTTATCCAGCATCCCATTCGGAAAATTACAGTAGTGTGATAACAATACCGGCAAGGCTATGGATCCACAAACGCTGCATCATCGATTAGTCTATCGAGCGCTGCAGGATCAATAAATCAATCAATATGGCACCCGAGTATCTTGATGAATGTAACACCTTGTATCAATCATAACCGACCACCCTGACGGGGCTCGGAATTTCTTTTGCTTTATATATACCGTATCACACACGCCTTAATCCCTCCCTCCCTCCCTACCCTCGGATAATGGTAATTATGCCCTAGAACGAAGTATGATACAGTGCTTGCATTGCGCGGGCAGTTTTCAAGGGTAACGCCAGCCTTTGCGAAAGTGATACCGTATCGTATCGTAGACTCCTATCGACATGGTATCCGATCCGGGTGGTGGGCGGTTCGACTGACTGACTGACTGAGTGACTGGCCTGTGCGGGTATTGTACCATTCAGGCACCATCGGTGTTCTAGCCTAGGGTTGCTTGAATGATCCGTGGGTAGGTGTGCTACAGTACGGTATAGGAACCCTTGACTCTACCTATTCATTCATTTATTTTTGCCCTTTTTTTGAGGGGGGAGGGGGATGTTGTCTTTTATTTATTTGTCCAGTTGGGTGCCTTCCTATCATACCGCAATATACCAAATCCATCTCTGCTCTGAGCAGCGGTGGACTATACTAGTATTTCGTACCTTTAAACTTGATGAAGCTTTATATTAGGGGGATAGTGTGCTGTACGAACACGGTACGGTACCGGGTTTCTAGTGACGGTTTTATGACAATGCCTGGTAAAGTGCTGTACGGCCTGCAAGTAATCATGCGAGATTGATTTCTTGTCGTCATTAGTTGGGATTCACAATATACAAGTACCGTATGGTACAAGTACTGACCGCTGAGTCAGTTAGTACTCGAGTACAGTAGTTGACTTTAACTGTGTCAACCTGTATCTTTATCCATTCATTTATTTTTGATCTTCAGTGTGTGGGTGGAGTTGAACCCGGAGGATTAGACTACCATAGATTGATTGATTGATTGGTCGATTCCTAGGGAAAAGTATCATGGGTACGGCATAATAGATGTATACGATACAATATGCCTCCATCTCCGGTAGTCTAGCGGATCGGGTAAGGGTTTTTGTTCCCGTCTCTGTTTCTGTCGGATTGGCCTGGAAGGAAGCTTGTTATAAAGATGCAAAGGGTATGGTTGGTGTTATGATATCATACCTACGGGTGGTCCCATTCCTCTGATATCACTCGGTATTATACTCGTAACGCGATGGGGAAACTCTCGGCGACTAATACGCCAGCCAAAGGAAGGGCTATGATACATAATCACATCTTGCTGGAAGGAAGGTATTGCAGTTTCATTTTTTTTTTCCCCTCCTCCAATGCTATGCGGAATAAGTTACTGGTCTCTTGGGGATATTTACTGTAGTTTGTGAGGACTACTGTCTCTAGTGCCTTACCTGAGAGTATTATTATATCATACTATAATATCTGTTTGCATGGGAACCCTTAGATAGAATAGTTTTTGAAGGATTAACTTTATTTGATGCATGAGAGGCAATCGACAGGGTAATCTTTTTTATTTTATTTCCCTGGCTTTGGAGGGCATCGTGCTCTACGGTACTGTAGTTCACGTGTGGTTGGTTATCCACTATCCGAGTGGGGCACTTTAAGGGCCTTGTGCATGATATGATGATAATAATAATATTATTATGATAATAGGGGAGGGGGGAAACATTCCACTGCATCTCGTTGAAACATTGGCATCGGACTTACCTCCTGATGTATAGTATGATAACCCACTGCACGTTTCAGCATCTTATGCTGAGGTTCGCGAGAGCCTCAACAATACGGCTCATTTCCGATTCATCTTTTCTTTTCTTTTCTTTTCTTTCTAGAAGGGTGTGCGGTATGATACCTCGAAGAAGTTTGTGGTTGTGAACGGACAGACAAGAAATTGTCTGACGTTCGTCATGAGTTATCAACCGTTTTTGCAACTGTATCATACCAAGACAATTGGGTGTATTGCCAAGACCTTCTAGGACCCCGGGTATTCGGTTCAACCAGGTTCCGCAGTGAGAGGTAACTCCCTGGACACCCTCCCCCCCCCCTGTCACAAATTAATACCGGTATCTGTGGTTCCTCATGGGAAGGGAAGGGAAGAGGAGTCTTGTCATCTACCCTACTTTTTATTTTGTTCCCTTCCTTCTTCCGGCACGGTACTGATACCCTAGCATTTCGGGCATCATATCAGGACCGATTGATTTACAAAACATCTTAAAGCGTTCCATTGCATACACCGCCCTCTCTTCCCTTCATTTCCTCCCCGGGAAGGCAAGAAAATGCCCGACATGTCACTACGCCGGTACCTGCCGTTTCTCCTCCTGGCTTTAGGCATTCGCCTGGTACCGGTAACCGCCCACGAGCACCACGCAGAGGAGATCCCGGAGGGGGAAGCGGTCTCTCCCGATCCGCTGGATTCGATACTATGGATCCACATCTTCACAATGATGGCCGCCTTCGGAATGGTACTCCCGTTCGGAATGGTCCTCGGGCTCGTCAGGAGTAGGTGGCACGTTCCCGTCCAGGTGTTGGGATCCGTACTGGCGGTGCTGGGCTGGTTCCTCGGCCATGCGCATAAGGGGAGGCAATTCGCGCCAAACATTCACGCAGCCGTTGCATCGTCGTTGATGGGCATGTTGGCTTTGCAGGTTGGCTTGGGCATCTATTTGAAGTTGCACTTGGAGAAGGGGTGGCATGCCCTTGCCAGGCGGCACCTGGTTCGTTTGCATGGCGTTGTCGGGAAGGTGATGCCGGTGGTGTCCTGGACCCAGATGTTGTTTGGGGGAATTACGGCGTGAGTTTATCCTTCGTTTATTCGTTCATGCATTTTTGACCTTCAATATTTTTTTCTCCTCTATGTCGGTGCTAGGATTGTGGTTGGTTGTCGATGGGCGAGATTGATGACAATGGTTGCCGATAGGATGGGCTTTTGCCGAGCAGATCACCAAGGGCAGTGCTTAGCGCATTTTGTAGGTCATGACCTTCTTTTTCGTCCAATCTTGCCATTTTTTTTTTGAGGGGGATGGGGTTGCTGACTAGCCCTCCTTGGCGACACGGCAGATTATGGGCAGTTCGTTCATAGGATATGGCATAGTCATGGTGATTATACTTTTTGCTGGTCAGGCTTGGTTGAAGAGGACCCGAAAGTCCCAGGAATTTTGGGATTCTTTGGTGATCACCATTTGGGGTAGGTTTCACTCAAGACCTATGTCCTCTATTTTGACTGAACTTTTGCATTACAGGATTTGTAAACACATGTACGGCTTGCAATTACCTCCATTGGGTGGATGTATGGGGCTTGTACTGACGGGCGGTTTTATCAGTTACGGAGCACAGGTGGGGCCAGGAGTGGGCGCATAACGATATCCAGCATACATCCATGGGTGTTGTCTGGTGGTGCGCGGGGCTCCTTAGACTATGGCTTTCCCGGGGAGGGGACGGGCGGCCGAAACGAAACCTCATTCCTGGGATTGTGATATTCCTGACTGGATATGCTATGGTAACTAAAACCGGTGCCCGTTTGTTCCGATGCATACTGACGTGAAAACGGTTCAAGTCCGCACATCCCCAGCACTTGCCACTCTCAACCATGGTACACAGTGTATTTGGTTACACCCTTATGGCAGCTGGGTTAGCAAGGGTCATCGAGATTGCGTTTGTCCTGCGAGATAAACCTGCCCTAGATGGGGAGCCGAGCAGTTTCCAGCATTTGACACCATTCGTGAGCGCCTCCCTTTTCATTGGACCTTGTGTTCGTGTCCTTGAGTCGCTATATGCTAACTAGTTGTGTTGCCTTGTAGTTGCTCTTTGCATCAGGTTTTAGTGAGTCCCGCGGTCCCAAGGGTGGCGGATCGGGCACTACGCCGAATTTCGGATGCGTTTACTAACAGCCCGTGCTTTGACAGTTTTCATGTGTGCTACCGAAGAGCGTACGTTGGTCTGTGCTCCTACGGTACTAGCATTGGTTGCTGACCCTGTTTTAGAACTTGCACTTGTCAGCTCCGTTGGGATCGATCACGTATCTTACCTTCTCGTCCTGTATAGCGTGTCATTCCTGATGTACCTCTGTGAGTGCTACCGGAGCCATTTCTAAATTTAGGGGTTTGAGCTTTCCTAATCATTTTTTCAGTTACAATGGTCCTCGTTCACACATATGTCTCGAATCCCGCGGACGTAAAGCCAGCCGGTCCGGAAGAGCGCGGCATGAATGGTCACGCGGATAGGAGAGTCCACGATGCCGAAGAGTTTGAGCTCGAGGGCCTGATCAGCGAAGACGAGGGGGAGGGGGAGGGCAAGCCAGAGTAGCCTATGAATTCACCTGCAGAGGGCCAAACGGCGATAATAGCAACTGTTGATAATAGGGGGATTTGGGCCGCCGAGCTCTGTGGTGGGAGCCGTTTTCGGGCGGGGAGCAGGAGGGGTGCTACGGTAATACTAATAATATTCCGGCGTTGTGGGTGTTTTCTCTTTCGCGTCTGTTACCACGGGGTAATCACATACATTTCCTTCCTTGTCATAGTCTGGGGGATATATCATGGGAACTACCTACTACCAGCACTAGTTACGAGCATAGCAGAGAAGGGTATCATAGCGGCCGATGGTGGTGATGGTAGCAATGGTAGCTGTAGCTATAATATAGGCACGGGCAACCCCCACCATTGCAACACTCAGGTCATGCCCGTACTCACGATTTTCAAAAGTATCCGGAAATCTGTGCTTGGATTGGTGTTTATTGGCCCCATCCAATCAAATCGAATAAGAAGGCCGAGGGAAGGTTTCCAAAGGAAAATTGTGCAAATGCTTGAAGAATACTGTCCGAGGTTGTGACTCTTTCTTTTTTCTTTCCTTTGAGATATAGATATTTAATATCATGATAGAAGTACTGGAAATATGGTGTGGCAGCTCGTGTTGCCAAGCTGTTCTCCAGACTTCCAGGTACCGGTACTTTTCTTTATTTTTATTTTTATTTTTTTCGAGAATGGCGAGCAGACTAATGGTACCGATATCTTGCACTTGTACCGGTATTGGCCGCCCTCGGATACGCACAGATTTATTGCCATGCGTTTCTTTGATCCCTGTTTCCGGGTACTTCCTGCCCGGGACAAAGTACAGTGCTCGAGTGCATTACGATACACGATCCATACATGCCGGTAAATCAACCATACCGACAGCCCCCCTCCCTTTCGGACCCGAGTTGATAATACCGGTAATCCATCGGTTTCGGGAAGCAATTATTACAGGCCCATATGTTCACCGGGCGTCACTCGAGCTCTTCGGATACGCGAACCTTTCTGTGTGAGTATGATACGGTACGGTGCCGTGCCCACAAAATACCTCGATGCAACCACCAAACAGGACCAAGAAAGCGATCCTGACGGTGAAATGAGATGGCCTTGGCAATTGGAGAAACGAGTAACTGAGAGTGATCAGGACGCCGCACACTGATCTGTTAACCTCGGACATTTTCATTAATGGATTCTCTCGTTCCGTTGATAATCTCAGGCTTGCTCGTGTTGTTTTTTTTTGGGGGGGGGGACTTCCCGCGTCCGGGGGTACAGTATCGGTACTCGTACAGTAGTTGTGATTGTGCGGGGGAAGAAAGAGGTGGGGCCGGAGTGGGGTGTTGGCTGGATAGTGGTGATATGGGGACGAACGTCACTGCAGCGGGGCCCTTTTCCCTTTTGGCAATTGTAATAGGATGGATGGATGGAGGAACGCTGGGCCAAGTTAAGTTGAATAAACAAACGTGGCAATACCGGTACTGCTCTCTCTCCAACCTGCAGGGCTTGCGTGATGCGGCTGCTGCTGCTGCGGGGGTGTTTGTTCATTTATGTCTTTGTTTTTGTTTTTTCTTTTCTTTTTTCCTTTTTTTTTTTCTTTTCCAATTTCTTTGAAACGGTATGATAGCGTGATCACTCGAAGCTGCAGGGCGCACTAACTGCACTGCACTATACTGTACTGCACTGTACTCGTCCAGAGTGTTTCTGCTCCGGGAACTTTTTCAACCCGCCGAGGTTGTTCCGTTGTTTGTTGAGCGAGGGATGCGGGTAAGAAGCCTGAGGGGGGGACCTTTTGTGGTTTCGATCTGTCTCTCTCTGGTATCGTGGTGATGGTAAGGGGTGGTGGTGATAGGGATTATATTATTGGTCATTGGCAGCTTATGTTATCGTTATCTGCGGTACGGGCACGAAGCGGTTGTATCGTGAGGGTTGAGGTTGGTTCGGTGTTGGTTCGAGTCGGGGCTACCGGTAACGGTACGTACGGCACTGTTGAGTGTCGGGTGTCATGCTTGGGGAGGACTGGCAGGGAGGGGGTGATCTCTTGTGTTTGGAGGTGAGCACTGGTACTGCATTGTACAGTACCGTGCGTACATATCGTGGACCGTTGGTGGGGTCTACTCGAGGGTAGGAGGAGCTTGAAGAGGGGACTCGTACCGAATCTTTCTTTTGGCGGAAGTTCTTCCAGTCCGGTTGGTCGCGGGATGGATTTTTTTTTTTAATCCTTCACCTGCTTGATGATGGCTGCTGCTGCTGCTGCTGCTGCTCTGCGTCCCGCGCCTCCACGTCTCTGTGTCTCTCTCTGCTCCTGCTGACTGACTTACTTCTGCCTTCGCCTCTTCCTCCCCTACCACCTGCTCTCCCTTCCCTTCCCTCCCCTTCTCTCGCTCCTTTCTTCTCTCCCTACTGTGGACGCCTCCCCGCCTTCACCTTCCTCCCTCTCTCCCTCCCTTCCTCCCTCCCTTCCTCCCTCCCTTCCGGGCTGACTGACTGACTGACTGACTGACCCTCTCCCACAACCGTAACCCTCGGAATCAACTCCACCGCTACTTCCTACTCGTGCCTTCCCCCTTCAACCCGGTTGGCCTTTTCTCTGGCCAGTCATCATCATCATTCTATTTTGTAGCCTTCTCTTGCTCCCTCCATTCCATTCTCTGTAGCCCTCACGAATAGTGGGCGAACCCTCGTCTGCCTTTCAGAGGTAGCTGGACACGCTGGGTATTTAATTACTGCCTGCTCCTGGATTTTTACTCTTCCTGGAACGTTCTCTTCGATTCTTGGGTCAAGTAACGCGTAGTGTAGCGATACAAAAAAAATACATTGCATTCTCTTCCCCCCCGTCCCTCAACACCTTTCCCTCTTTTCCATCATCACACGACAGGCAGCCACGCACACAGCCAACCCTTCTCTCACCCCCTCTTTCCCCCTTAACTCCTAACACTCAACCTTCACTACGCTGCTATGGCCGACGAACGCAAGATCGCTGAGCGCATGCTCATGAATGAGCTTAAAGAACTTTCCAAGGAGAACTGGGTGAACGCTGAGGTAGGTCTTCGGTTCCCTGCTGTGCTTTTAGGCTTGACCGGCCTTGCCACTGGAAGCGATAACCCTCTAATCTGACATTCTGCTTTTTTCTTTTTTTTTCGTCATGCTCTACAGCCTCGGGATGGAAACTTGTTTGTTTGGGATATTGCCTTGATTGTCGTAAATCCTACGTCTTTGTATTGTGGGGCTTATCTCAAGGTACTATCCCCCCCCCTCTCTCTGGTTGTGTGCCTGGAATGGGCACCTTTGTCGGTGCATTGCATAATCTCACTCGTTTGTGCTTCACCCTTTAGGCCGAGCTCAAGATTCCGAAAAATTATCCGATGAGCCCTCCCGAGTTCAAGTTTGTCCGTCCGCTGTTCCATCCCAACATCTACCCCGATGGCAAGCTGTGTATCTCGATTCTTCATGCCCCTGGGGAAGATGAGACATCTGGGGAGCTCGCTTCGGTACTTGGACTAGCGCCCCTCGCTTGGAGGGTGTTGATCACAGCGGCTAACGGCTTGTTAGGAACGTTGGTCGCCGGCTCAGCGTATCTTCACCGTGTTGATCTCAATCCTGTCGCTACTTGACGATGCCGAGGTTTCCAGTGCGGCGAATGTCGATGCTGGCGTTATGCTACGAAAGGAGCCGGAAAAGTATAGGAAGGTTGTAAAGGAGCATGTCGAGACTTCTAAGCGCGATATCCCGGCCGGGTTCAAGATGCCCAGCCTTGTTGAGACTAAGCCTCCAGAGAAGGAGGAGGTCGATGATGACTTTTGGTGTGAATTTGACGGGGAGAGTGATTATGGGGACACCAGTGATGATGAGGATATGGTTTTTGGTATGATTTCCCTTTTCGGGTCCGGAGTACGGTTTCGGTTTGCTGATTTGGTTGATGTTTAGAGGATGATGAAGAATCTGATCCCGATGAGGCGGAGGAAATGAATCAAGACGGAGAGAAGCGAAGCTGTTGAACTCTCCGCCCAATTATGTTGTCTCGCTTGGCTGCCATCTTAACTGTTCTGGGGTCCTGAGGTCGTATTACAATATACTTTCTTCGCTAGTTCTTTTCTCTTCTCTTCTTTTTTTTCTTTTTTTTTTCTTTTTTCAGTGATCCGTTTATTGTTGCTTTTGAGCGGTTAAAATCTTAGCGTTGCATCTTCCCCATTAATTTTGTTTTCACCCCTCCGTTCTCTTTTCCTCTTGCTGTTAAATTTTCATGTTTCTCTTTGTTGGCTGGCTGGCGTTTCTTGGGGAGGAGGTGGAGGAGGGCAGCATCAACAAGGGGGCGGAGGGTTCCAGTCAAGGGGGGATCCCGAGAAAGATCAATATTCCTTTGATGCTTCATGACCACGGCGCCCATCGCTTCATTTGTTTTTATATTTTCGCTGTAGCCGTATGAGAAACAAATCGCTCACTGTCTGCAATTCGTAACCGGCGTTGTGGTCCTGGGGCCGATTTCGGGGGCCCTGGACTTTGAAGAGGGTCGCAAATGACGGGCGAGTGATGAGCTGTGATATCTGTTGCTGCTAAATAGGGATAAAAATTAAAAAAATGACGTAGAGGATCCTTCCCCATTAGTAAGAGTGATCTCGACCCTGCAGTAGAGCCGCAACCGAGCAAAAGGCAACACAACGGACCGGATTGGAAAAGAAAAAGGGAAAAAGAAAAGGAAAGACGTTTAGCGGAACACCCCTCCACCCCACACCAAACGGCCATGCGTCTATTTCTCAAGGTCTGCAGCAGGAATGTATTAACACATCCCCGGCGGCCAGTTATCAGCCATTTGCCGCCTGCCATCAATGTCGGCGCTGGTCAGCTCCTCATGGGGCCAAGGAAGGAATATGGGAGGGCGCGGTACTCGCAGAAAAACGGCGGCAAGACGCCGCACAACGATCCAATGTCAGAGTCGCAACTGCAGCAACAGCAACAGAAGGAGAAGGAAAAGAAGAAGCGGAAAAAGGGCTCCCAATCCTCCAAGAATTCACTCCGAAAGGTGGCGGCTCAGGCGGGGCACGCAGCGAGTGGGACTGGGCGGACAAGAGTACTGCATCCTTCCCCACCATCCTTACCTTCCCGGAGAGCTACTTAACGGAGGAGCGAACAGGTCTGCACAGCCTACTGCACCGCCGAGAAATACGACCTCCCGAGCGCGACGCGCCTCCTCCTCGCGCAAGGCTACACCCCCGACCCCCTCCTGACGGGACTGGACGAGCAGGTTATCCACCTCCGCCTGCCCATACCGAATTCGACCCCGAGCGCGGAGACTGGGTATCGGGCCGAGAATGGGGACGTCTTCATATTCCCGTCGGGGAATATAGTGTCCTGGTCGCTGCCGCCGGAGGAGGTGATGTCAGTGGGAAGGGTCATTGAACCAGCGGGAGATCGGGCGTATGCTGAGGGGGACATGGAGACAGAGGATCTGGAGTATGTCGAGGACTCCAGGATACGCAGAAGTAGGATCATCGGTGACGTGATTATGCTGGGGACAGCGGGACGGGAGAACCAGGTTTTAGCGGAGGTGCAGGATGGGTATCCTCGTCCGTGCTCCTCCCAGAGCCTCCTCCCCCCGCCTCCAGTGCCGGTGCCGGCGCCGGCGGCAGCGCAAGCGCCAAAGGATGAACTGACGACAACCCTCGCCAAGGTCGCCTTCTCCTCCGGCCTCTCACGGAGCACGAAACTGGCGGTGCTGGAATCCCTCCTCGACTCCTACCTAACGACGACCCACACCATCCCCACGCTCCTCTCCCGCGGTTCGAAGCTCCCCTTCACGCGCTCCTTCATCCTGCGCAAGACTGGCGAGCTGCTGGAGTTTCGTGCGCGGCTGAACCTCTACTCCGAACTGACGGACTCGCTGCCCGACATATTCTGGGACTCGAGGCACGAGCTCGGACTCGAGGGGTATTATGACGCTGTCGGCCGCGCTCTGGACGTGGATGTGCGCATTCGACAGTTGAATGCGAAGCTGGATTACGCCTCGGGCATTGTCGAGGTTCTCAGGGAGAGGCTGAGCGAGAGGCATTCGCTCCTGCTCGAGTGGATGATCATCATCTTGATCACCATCGAGGTTGGCTTTGAGGTGCGTAGGCTGTGGGGTGAAGGACGAAGGAGCGAGGTTGAGGCGAGGGAGTATAGGGAGTGGAAGGAGAGGAAGGAGAGGGAGGCGGATGGTGAGTTTCAGAAGTGGAAGAGGGAGATGGAGGGGGAGTAGTGGCTGGCGGTGGGCATAGGATGGGGGGGGGGCGTTATATTTTTATTTTTTTTAAATTGATTTTCTCCCCTCTTTAGATTTGTATGATAATATTATTTTAGAATCAGTTTTTTTTAATCGGAAGTAGGAGGAAGTAACCGGTTTGAAAGGGAGGTTAGGAGCGATGGGTGGGTGTATCATGGGGGATCACTCACACATGTCGTACATCATGATAGTCTACAATCCCTTTCGCTACCATCCTCCTCCTCCCCCCCTCCATTAGTATCATACCACAGGACCTGAACCTGTCTTCCATGATACCCCCCTTCCATCCAAATATTTCACCCTAATCAGGGCTCATTTGTCCCTCCCTCCATTTCCCTTCGGAAAAGGATCTCGATATCGATAGCTCGACCACCGTAGTTGGGCGTGATAGCATTCACGCAGTAACAATATTAAACGGGTACGGTACGTTACAGTACCGGTAGTTTGAAGCATCCTATCCCCTACACCGTTCTGTTCATTGTATGATAACTACAACTTTCGCAGTGGCATGGACTATTATACGAGTATCGTATCTGGTCAGTCGAGTGTGCAGTACTGTACTGTACGGTACAGTACTGTGACCACCCCCAATTCATTTTTTTAAATGATAGGATTTGGAATGTGTTAGGATGCCTGGATGCCTGGATGCCTGACTTGACATTACGGTAGACCATTCGACATCAGGCACCCTCTTTTTTAATTTAATTAGCAAACTGTGCGGCACTGTACAATGGCAGTAGCGTATTATATCATCATCATCGTAAAGTCAACTTAAGCTTAAACGACGTACTGGTAACTTGTACCTGTACCTGCACCTGTATGATATAATGATAATATCATAATAGATTACAAGCACAGCGCAGTACGAGTACAGAGACAAAAATCTGTGCAACCGTCACTACCCATCATACCTACCACATATTTTTTTTCCCAAAGTAGTTTTAATTTATCATACGTATGATACGGTATGATACCATACGAGCAGAAAAACTCAAGCAAGGGTTAGGGTTACACTGCATTGTTGTTGTTACGTTACGTTACGTTACATGCTGCATACCGGTACAGTACGGTACAAGTATGTACGGTAATTGGTTGTGTGGTGGTGCGGTGCGCCTTTTTCTTGAATTCTGGCAACTTTGACCATAATTAATAATAATAATAGAATCGTTGAGGTCCTTTTCTTTCCTTTTCTTTTTTTTTTTCCCCCTTCAACTTTTGAAGGGTTTGTTGGAAAGGTGACGGGGAAGTTGCACCGTGTTGGAAACTTCTTCTCCTTCTTCCTTTTACTTCATCTATTCACCCCCCGGCTGCGAGAGTCAGAGCTAACGAGGCGAGTTTTTTCTTCTTTTTTCGTTGGGAGAAGTGAGAGTGAGAGAGAGAGAGAGAGAGAGAGAGAGAGAGAGAGAGTGTGTGTCG